AGCTGGGAGTGAAGCCAGGGGCCTATTCTTGCACGAATATCATGCAACAGGCCTCTAGTAAATAATAACACATTAATGATGAGAGAAAGGTGTGTGTCTGTGTTTTGTGTGCGAATGCTGGGGCCTCGACCCAAGGGTGTCACTGCCCAGGGGCTTTGGAGCTTCTGGAGCTGTTCCCATGTGGGTCCATGGCAGTTGCCAGGCAGGGAAGGCAGCCAGGCCAGGGCCCAGGCCAGGGAGCTGCTGCTGCAGACAGACAGGGCTGGTCTTTGGCTGGTGCCCAGCCTGGGCTGTTCTCACCGAGTCCTCTCAGAACGCTAGGGGCCCCTCTCTACCTTGAGGAGCATTTCAAAGTCCAAGCCAAGCAAACGTCCTTACACAGCTGCCTCTGGCAGCCCCATCCTGGTCACAGAATAACCCTGTCTTTGGGGTCTGCTCTGTGCCGGGCACTTCGGTAAGCACCTCACTAGATTATCTACCCCCTAAAGGGGAATCCTGGAAGTAAAGCGACTTGCCTACAATCACACTTCTACCAAGTGGCCAATAAACAGAAAAATCAGGATTCTTATGAGACTAAGCATCATACTAGAGTCTGACCCATTCCTTGAACTTAGATCTAAGAAGACACAGAAGCCCAGAGAGGGCAAATGCCTTGCCTTAGGTCACACAGCCAGTTAGCTTCAGAGCTGAGGTTTGACTGCAGGACAGGTAGGAGACTGAACTTGAGGACTCCGACTTACTCTCATCACTCTCCTGCCCTCCCCACCCCCAACCGCTCTTATGTGACACTTGACATTATCCATCACCCTCCCTCTGGGAACGCCCTCCTCCTCCAGTTTCCATGGCAGCACATCTCCCCGTCCTCCTCCAGTTTCTCCCACTCCACAGTGGCTCCTGAGCCTGGAGGATCCCTAGACTGGGTCCCCAGTCTCTTCTCCTATTGCTGCCCCAGAAGCTCATCTACATTCCCTCCAGGCCTCTAGCTCTGACCCCCTGACCAACTCTGACCCTCTGACCACGCATGGCAGCTCCACTTGTAAAAATAACAGCCCCACCCCCTGGTCAAACTCCTGGTGGAACTCCCAGTTGAGGGGACAATTTGCATATTAGGCTTTTATTCTATGGGACAGTGTGATATTTTTGTGGCCAGAAATCTTGCTTATATCAATTAGCCTATGTAAAATGGTTTTGTTATACATCATGTCACTTAAAATTGCACTTTCCAAAAACTAGAGATGAAGTGAAGGGGGGACTTGCTGTACATTAACTCATCAAATCCTCACAGCCTCGTGAAAGATGTTTACTCTACAGATGAGCAAACAGAGGCACCAAAAGGGAAAGCCAAAATCTGATTCCAACCTCAACCACTTCTTCCATTACAAGAGATATGAAATTGTAGGAGGCAATAATTCCCTTCCCTCCTGCCTCCTGAAGAGAGAGGAATGGGAATTCGGGGGAAATCAGATCTAGTTTGAGAGCCCTGTGACACTCTAGAACTACACTGTCAATTTGGAGGTTTAAAAATGCATCATGTTCAGTACACCTTGTTTTTTAAGTAGATTTTTATTGATTTCAGAGAGGAAGGAGGAGGGAGAGAGAGAGAGAAACATCAATGATGAGAGAGAATCATCAGTCGGCTGCCTCCTCCAGATCCCCTTCCAGGGATCGAGCTCACAACCCGAGCATGTGCCCCTGACTGGAATCGAACCCAGGACCCTTCAGCCTGCAGGCCGATGCTCTATCCACTGAGCCATACCAGATAGGACTTCAGTACATTCTAAATTGCAGAGTTAGAGAGCGTCTGGGGGAACAAAAGTTCGTGGAAAATTGCCCTTTTCTCCAAGTCTTTCCATTTGGTTTTAAGTCTTCAAAACCTCACCTCTCGGTTCTACGGCTCTTCTTCAATGATGTCTGGAATTCATCGTTAAACTCCTGGAAACTTGGACCATGGAATTCCACTGACCCGAGTTCCGCTACCAGTAACAAGCTCTGTGACAGGGTGAGCAGCTTGACCTCTCTGAGCCAGACTTCTGGTCTAAAATAAGGGTAATCGTACTGCTCCCACCCATTCCCCCAGGAATGTCATCGCACACGTTCAGGGAAGCCCACGCTCCAGCTGCACACCGCTTCTCAGGTCTGCCACGCACTTGAACTCTTCCCCGTTTTTTGCACACACTGTTCCCTCTTCTCAGTGGCCAACTCCTAGTCATGCATCAAGGCCCCCTGACCCTTTTCCGCCTTGTTCAGCATCACTACACATCTGTTTCCGTGAAGAGCTAGAAAAGGTACTTCCTTGTGACACCCTCCCAGGGCTCCCTGTGGCTACACACACCACAGGGAGACATAATCATCCATCGTTTATGCTTTGTCTCCAGTGCGGGCTCTGACTTCCTGAGGGCAGGGCAGTACCTGACTCATGACCAAGTCCCAGTGCCCAGCGTGCTCACAGCCCGGCATGGAACATGTTTCAGTACGTTAAATGCTTTCCCTTAAACGCACATGGTCTGGACCCAGCCCCTGCTGACCCCAGGACAAATATATGTATGAGAAGTAGTGAAAGGAGCCAGTCTGTTATAGCCACAGAACACGGGTAGTGAACAGGCCTGGGGCAACCCGTTCTAGGAAGAATTAAAGGGGACACGGCAATTGCAAGGAAAATAAACAGACTTGGTCCCAGCATCACCCCCTTCGGGAGTCTCCCCTGGTTCCTAAATCGTCTGCTTCCTCTGACATCTCCCCAAGGCATTCACACGAGGGGGCCCTGGGGATGAGTGATGAGGAAATGTTCCCACCCAGCTGATACCCACCCCCATTCGGACACAGAGAGCCCATGGTCACAGGCTCCACCTGAAGGGTGAAAGCGAGCAGGGACCCCAGACCTAGGTAACTTTGCAGGTGGGTCTGAATGCTGGGCACAGCCCCCCATCTTCCCAAGGCACTAGGGGGGCCTCTCTCGGAAGAAAGCAAGTCCCAGGTTTTCAGCTTCCGGGACCTCACTCTGAGGAGGGGACTGTGCTTTGCCCAGGGGACTGTAAGGGTATCCCTACACCTAATGTACCCAGAGCCCACCCTGGTGCCCCAGCCCCCACCTTGCTGAATGCCAGTTCAGCCCCTGCTGAGTGACAGCCTCCCAGACACAGGAAAGGCTTTTGTTCCAAGGAAATGGCTGTCAAAGGGAGAAGAGGTTCATTGTTTCTTTTCTCCCCGCCACACCCCACTTTCCTTTCTTTTTTCTTTTTTTGCTTGAGACAGACGTCAATGTCTTTCCATCTGCCCCCCAAAGGAAAGATGATTAAATGTTTTTACAAGGATGTCAGAACACTGCTTCAATTGGGAGCCAGGGTGCTTGACTGAGGCTGCGCGTGTGAGGAAGGGGAAAGCGGGGGACAGGGGACGGGGACGGGGGGGAGGGGGGGGATGTAGAAGGCAGGGGGGGAGATAAAGCGAGGGGAGGCCAGGGACCAAGGACAGACCCTGGTACTGTGGGAAGCAAGATCTGGGCTTGCCTCAATAAAATGCCAGACTAATGAAATGAAATACTCTCTGCCTAGCTCTGGTGGACCCGCCTCTCAGCAGCTTGAAGGGGGCAGCGAGAGCAGGTGGGGGCCTGTGGGTCAAGGGAAAAGGCAGAGGGGAGCACGCACTGACAGGAGCATTGCAGTTATAAAAGCCTTCAGAGTCACATGGGCCGCTCCAGCTTTCTGCGAACACCGGACACAGCGGGGGCATCCAGACGTGGTGAGAAAGAGGATTGTTGGAGCTTCTCAGGGGCCCCAGGCCCGCAGCAGGTGCAGGGAAGTCTGTGCTGGTGCTTGAGATGCCCACCCAGTCCCCGGGCCCTTACCCATCACGGAGCTCTGATCATGGTCCTCTGTCCTGCAGCTCCTGGGCCGGAAAAGCCAGGGTCCTGGGGAGCCCCAAAGGCTCTGTCCACTGACTTCAGGACCTAACCTCAAAGCAGAACCAGCACCACGCCCACCTCCACTTCCTGCCTCAGCCCTCCCCCACCCCCCCTCAGCACTGAGACCAACCAGCAGCTTCGCTTTGGGAACTGAAGCCACAAAGCCTCCTCGCTCCTTTTGAGCCCAGATAGGGAGTCACGCTGAGGACTCTGCCCCACCCGGGGCCCTGGTCTGCTCTCCTATCCTGGAGCCACCCGCCCTGCCCAGGGTCCGCCCCACCCCACGGAGGAGCTGCTGGGGCTTTACCTCCAGGCGGAGGCTCCCTGCCATTCCAAGGAAACGACTGTCCAGGAGGGAGAGGTGTTTTTTGTTTGTTTGTTTGTTTTGTTTTTCTCTCCCTCTCTATTTTTCTCTTCTTTTTATTTATAGGGATGGCAAGTTTGGACCTGGACCTGGGCAAGTCCAGCCCTGAGCCCCATTTCCTGCTAGAACTCAGGGCTGGGCCTCTAGCCCAAAGTCGAGGCCTCTGGCCCCGCACACAAGCCAATCGCTGCGGCCCAGGCTTGAGCAGTGGCTATGCCTCCCTGTCCCCTCCTCCCTACACAGAGGCCCGATCTTGCAGCTCAATTCTCAAGCCACTGCCCCCTCCATCCCTGCCCCATGGGTCCTGCTTGGGCATCTTCACTGGCAAGCCCAGCTCAGGGTCAGAACTTGAAGCTCTCCCCACGGGAGAGGCCCAATTTATCCGCCCAGTTCCAGAGCCACAGGTCCTGCTCCCCAGCTCCTCCTCCTCCTCCAGCCAGAGCCTCTGACCAGGCCCTCAGTCCAGAGACACAGCCCACCACTGCCCAGCCCTCCTCCCTGCCCCAGAGGTCCACCCACAGGGGGTGCCCATCCCTCTGCCCCAGAGGTCCACCCACAGAGGGGCCCCATCTCTCAGCCGTGGCTCCTCTCAAACCTGGGTCTGTTTTTCAAAACAGAGGCCCCCCTGATCCTCCTGCGGCTCCCTGCCTCCCCCGCCACCCCCCCCGCCCCCTTCGCCCTCGGTGTGGCCTCCAGGTCCCTCCGGAGGGGTGCGCCGTGGGCCGGCCGGGCCGGTCAGGCAGCGGTGCCCCCCGGACCCTCGGACGGGGTGCAGGCGGTGATCCGCTCGCGGACGGTGGCTTCCCGGGCGCGGCCGAAGCCGCCGGGCTCGGGGCGGCCGCAGGGCCAGCGGCAGAGGTGGCGGAAGCAGCGCTTGAAGTTCTCGTCCAGGAAGGCGTAGAGCAGCGGGTTGAGGCTGCTGTTGGCGTAGCCCAGCGCGATGCACAGGTGCAGCGCGGCCAGCACGAGCGGGTCGCGGCGGTCGATGTCCACCAGCGTCCAGACGATGACGAAGACGTGGATGGGCGCCCAGCACACCACGAAGGCGCCCACCACCACCAGCACCATGCGCGTGATGCGCCGCAGCCCGCGGTCCTTCTCCCGGGAGCCCGCCAGCAGGCGCACGCTGCGCAGGCGCAGCAGCATCAGCCCGTAGCACACGGTGATGATGAGGATGGGGACCACGAAGGCGAAGAGGAACACGCAGACCTTGGTCACTGTGTCCCAGTACCAGCTGGGGCTGGGAAACTGGAGCGTGCACACCACCGCTCCGTCTGGGCCGCGGGAAGAAAGAAAGAAACACAGGCCGGGTGAGGGGGCTGGGGGCCTGAGGGGCTCGGCCGCCTGCTCCCCCCCCCCCCTTCTCAACCAGGTCAGGTCCCACTGCCTCCTCCTAAAGAGGCCCTATAAAGTCTCTGAGCTTATTGGCCTCGACTCAGCAGCTGGGCCCTATTCCTCACTGTCAGCCTTCAGTTTACAGGCCATTAACTACAGCCCTGCTGGGGGCTGGGCCAGATGGGCCTCCTCACTCCCCCCCCCCCTCTCTCTCTCTCTCTCACACACACACACACACACACACACACACACACCACTTCCCCCATGTGTGCCATCAGCACTCATATGCCACTTGCTGTGTGACCTTGGACAAGTGCTGTTGCCTCTTTTACTCAGAGTGATTCCTCTACCTGGGATATCCTGCACTGCACGTGGCGAACTCTTATTCATCCTTCAAGACCCCAGCAGGATTGGCCCTTCTACAGAAGGTCTTCCTATATTCTCTCCAAGTCCCTTTATAAGCCCAACAGTAATGCTATAATTTAGCCTAAGCTCCCTAAAGGCCAGTTATTATGATAACTTGGAAACAGCTCACACATTTCCAAAGTAACTTCAGTGGGGTCACTATTGCTACACTGACATAGAGAGAATGAGTTAAAAAGCAGGACTCGGGTCCTATGAACGGTGTGGTGTGGCCTGGAGCAAATTATTGAAACTTCAAGAGCTTCCCTACAGGGGGACTGACAGCAGCACTTAAACCTCACAGGTTTGTTGTGAGGATTAACTGGGCCAGAGCCTGTGAAGCACAGAGCACAGTGGGGTTCCAGCTCTCTGTGCGCTCACAGGGCAGATACATGTGGGCGTCCAAAGGTCCGGGCTAGGGCTGGGAGGCAAAGCTCAGCCTCATGGCAAACACTTCTGACTGCCAGGCTTGTCCAGAGATAAGAATGAGCCCCCTGTGCGGGCCTGGACTGGATGCGCTCCTTAGGGGATGCTGTGAGATACAGACACAGGCTGAGGTGGCCCAGGAGACGCCCAAGGTCTTTTGGAATTTGGAATTTGAGGAGCTACACAGTGGACTTGGAGCCTGAGGGTTGAGAAAAGGGGGCTGGGAATCCACAGACGGAACGGGCCTGGGACATCAGAGTGGCAGGATCCACATGGATAACAGAGTCCCAGACTTCATTGTGCAGATGGTAGGACCAGGCCCAGAGAGGAACAGCACTTGTCCAAGGTCACACAGCAAGTGGCATGTACATGCTGATGGCACACACTGGGGAAGTGGGGTGTGTGTGTGTGTATGTGTGTGTGTGTGTGTGTGGAGGGGGGAGGGGGGAGTGAGGAGGCCCATCTGGCCCAGCCCCCAGCAGGGCTGTAGTTAATGGCCTGTAAACTGAAGGCTGACAGTGAGGAATAGGGCCCAGCTGCTGAGTCAGACCAATAAGCTCAGAGACTTTCTAGGGGCTGAACCCTTGTGAGAGTCAGTGATGGCCAAGAAGCCTCCACCAAGCCTGTTCCCCTCTCCCACCACAGCTCTGATGGCCTGCAAACCTTCACCGCAGGGGCCAGGAGCCTTGGGTTTTAGGCCAAATTCCACCAAATGTCTGGCTGTGTGAAATAAACCATGGAGATGGGAGTCTCTGCCTTGTCTATCTCATAGGCTTAATTATCTTAATTGCTGCTATTTATTGGGCCTTGGCAATGAGCTAAGTATTTTACACTTACAACCTCATTCAATCTTAACACCCCATAATAGAGTGTGGCTCGGAGAGGTCAGGGACCAGTGTCTTTGGCACCAGGTTGAACTACTTTTCGCACTTCTTTACATCATTGGAGTTATGTGACCAGCTATCACTACGCAGAGATGGGCCATAACCTTTAAAAGTGGTTGTGCTTTCTCACCACTCCCTCTCCATATTCCTCTGCTGCCCAGATCCAGCCCTGGAGGATCCAAAACCATCATGTGGGGCCTGGGTCCCTGAATGATGTGGGGCATAGAGACCCCCCTCTTGCTCACAATGAACAGTAACGTGAGTAAGAAGTAAACTTCTACTGTGTTAAGCCACTGCGCAGCTACCCTGACTGATAGAGGGGGTTACTATACTAATAATTACCATTCTGCTCTGAGGGAATGCACCTATCAATCATTGTCATTCTCTGAAGGCCAATCTCTAGGCGTTGCTTTGGTCATCTGAGCCAATGACTTCACATTGGGGTGGAAGGGAATCTGGGATGGGACTGCAGGTCTTGTGGCCTCTGTTGCTCACAGATCAGTGACAGCCTCACCCTACTGGCCATCCATCTATCTCCTTAAAGAAACCCTAAAAAGTTTCTTTTGTCAGGGAAGTGAAATGACTGATCCAAGGTCACACAGTGATGGCCACGCAGCTACATGCTCATCAATCAGCCATCCATAATCCCATTGATAATTTCCTTTGGCCAGCAATCCATAAGTCTACTGACGAGCCATTCATCCACACCACAGTCAACCATTCCCATTCCTCATTGGCCAACCATTTCCATTCCCATTGGTTGACTATCCATATTCCCACTGGCCAGTCATCCACAATTTCATTGATCAGCAATCCATATCTCTACCCTAATAAGCCTATACACCCACAGAGGCCCCACATGTGCTGCCTCCTGTGGCCACTCACCCCGGGGACGGGTCACAGCCATGATCATGATGGGCACACCGACCCCTGACGCCAGGACCCATATGCAGATGTTGATCAGCTTGGCCTTGGCGGGTGTGCGGAAGTCCAGGGCCTTGACAGGGTGGCAGACAGCAATGTAGCGGTCCACACTCATCATGGTGAGCGTGAAGATGCTGGTGAACATGTTGTAGTAGTCGATGGAGAGCACAGCCTTGCAGAGAAGTTCTCCGAAAGGCCACGTCTCCATCAGGTACTTGGCGCTCTGGAAGGGCAGCGTGCTGGTGGCCAAGGCGTCTGCCAAGGCCAGGTTGAAGATGTAGATGTTGGTGGCTGTCTTCATCTTCGCGTACCTGAAAGGAAAAGGCATATATCACCATTCCAACCCACAGACTCCAGTTCCACTGGAAACTCAGGGAGGTGAAGTGACTGATCCAAGGTCACACAAAAGTCTGGGGCAGAGGAGGGATTATAAGCCTGACCTATCTGATTCAGCATCATTCCTTTCCACTCTAACAGACGGAAGGGCATTTATCTGGCTTGGAGTAACTTTGGCAGAAGGTATCTTAGGGGGGGAAAAAAACACCTTATCTTTTAAAAATAAAACGGCTCCTGAGGGAAACAGGTCTAGCTTCTAACCTGCCTCTACAGTTTGTCAGCTGAGTGCTTCTGGGCTAGAGACTTGAACTTTCTAAGCCTTAGTGTCCACAACTGTAAAAAGAGGGACAATATTTTTACCAATCTCACTGAGTTGTTATGAAATGTAATGAGATGATACAGCACTTAGGCCAGAGCCCAAAGCTTGGTATATGATAGAGGTTATTATTCTTCACATATAAAAATGAAGCTGGGGGCTAGACCAGAGTGACCTGACCCTTTACCACTGACCTGGCCTTCTGGGAGTGTGATTGGCAGCTCTGATGGGGGGACTCTGCTAGCAGAATGATTAGGACCTTAGACCACCCGGAATGTGCTCCATGGGCTCCCAGTCCTTCCCACTGTCCTTTCCAGACTATCTTATTCCCATACCGCTGGTCTCACCGAGCTGTGGGAAAGGGGAGTAGGGGACAGTGTCAGACTTCCAACACAGAGCACAGGCCCAGGGGTCCAAGCCAAATGTCCTCAACCAGGCCCTGAACCTGAAACTCTCCAACACCCATCCCTCCATGGTCCACGCTGCCACACAGCTGCTTGCACCACCGCTGGCCCCTGTGTGGCCAACATTTCCAGTCCTGGGCCGGGCACCAGGTATGCTGGAGGAGGCTCGCACACTGAAAACAGTTCCAGTGCAATGTGATCATGGAAACACACCAGGGGCGAGGACTGCTCTCATGTCCCTGGAGTGATCTGAGAGACCCAAAGAAGAGCTGTACGAGTGACTCCCCAGACTTCAGAGCAAAGAACTCTGCGAGGCGGAGGGGAGTGCTTTTGTGAAAGCGTGGCCCAAAAACTTCCCTCACAACCATTGGAAGGACCCCAAGAAATGCCGATTCCGAGGCCCCACCTCAGACCTTTAGATCTTAATCTCTGGGAATCTTCGTCTTTAATAAGAACACCCTCCCCCAGGTGATTCTTATGGATCCTAAAGTTTAAGAAACACTCTGTAGCCTACTCCCCATACTGGGGAGAGATGGAGAAACTGAGGCAAGGTCAGGAGGGACGGTGGCAGAGCTAAGTCGAGAATGTAGACGTCCTGCCAAAACCGGTTTGGCTCGGTGGATAGAGCGTTGACCTGCGGACTGAAAGGTCCCAGGTTCGATTCCGGTCAAGGACATGTACCTTGGTTGCGGGCACATCCCCAGTAAGGGGTGTGCAGGAGGCAGCTGATCGATGTTTCTCTCTCATCGATGTTTCTAACTCTCTATCCCTCTCCCTTCCTCTCTGTAAAAAAATCAATAAAAAATATATATTTTTTAAAAAGTTTAAAAACAAATTAACAAACAGAGACCTCCTTGACTCACAGACCCAAGCTTCTCTCCGCTCTGCCCCAAGGGTGGGACCATGCTTCTGCCTCTGCCCCTCTTGGCTGGACAGAGGCGCGCCCTCAAGATGTTTGGAATGACTGAATGGATTCTATCAGCTGAGGCTCCATGATGTCACTGATTTGTTTGGCTTTTATACTGAGTGACTCTCTGTCCTCCAGAGCCAGCATCTGTCCTACTCTCTCTCAAAATAGCTGTCCCTTGCCCCGCAGCTGGAGAAGCAAAAAGTTTTCTCGAAGACAGCAGAATTGCAAGTCTTGGAAAGTCTGCTGTCAGTGGGGTGCGCGATCACAGCTGTGTGGGAGGCAGTCTCAACCCCACAGCTGACTCGTCTAATTTTGCTTCTTTTACGCAGAACAATTAGAGGCCGTTCTTCGCCTGCTATTTTGATTTATGAAGGCTCCTTCCATTCCCGGGGGGGCTGAGATGCTGGGAAGTAGATGAGGGAGCTGCTGTAGCTGGTGCAGGCTGGGCTGAAAGGCCCAGCGATGCCGGCCAGCCAGAGCCCCTCTCCTCACCAGCCTCCCCACTCCACAGCTAACCAGCACCCAGCCCTGTCCTGTTGGCCTCCTCTGACAAATCATGCCGCTCTGCCCTAGATGGTTTTGCTCAGCGGTTAGAGCATCAGCCCTCAGCCTGAAGGGTTGTGGGTTCAACTGCCAGCCAAGGGCACGTACCTCAGTTGCTCGATCCCCAGGGCCGGTTGGAGTGTGCAGGAGGCCACCAATCGATGTGTCTCTCGCACATCGATGTTCCTCTCTCTCTCTCTCTCTCTCTGTTTCTCCCCTTCCCTCCCTTCCACTTTCTCTAAAAATCAATGGAAAAAATATCCTTGGATGAGGATTAACCAAAATAAATAAATAAAAAACCATGCCGCTCTCCTGCTCTCAAGGCCAATTCCACAAACTGGCCCCAACCACCTCTCAGGCCTCAGCTCCCAGAACCTTCCCTTGATGGCTGCCCCCCGCCCCTCACTTCTTCCCTGTTCCTTGGACACATCAAGGCCAGGCCTCTGGCCTGCTGATCACTCTTCCTAGAAGCCTCGAGGCCCCAGGTGTGCATGGCTCGCTCCTTCCCGTAACTCAGGGCTCCATTCAAATGTCGCCTCCCAGAGAGGCTGCCCTGACCCCCTCCCTACCATCACGCGCTAGCTCCTCACACTGCTTCCTTTTCTTTACATCACGCACTACCGCCTGGCTTAGCATTTAGCTTCTTTTCTGTCCGTCTGACTCTCTCACCCACATCCACTCCCTCAAGACAGGCCCTTTGTCCACTGTGTCCCCTGCTGTGTTATCGGCTCTACCGACTGCACCGGGCAAATAGCAGGCTTTCAATAGGCATCTGTTGCCAAAGCCGGTTTGGCTCAGTGGATAGAGCGTTGGTCTGTGGACTGAAAGGTCCCGGGTTCGATTCCGGTCAAGGGCATGTACCTTGGTTGCGGGCACATCCCCATTAGCGGGTGTGCAGGAGGCAGCTGATTGATGATTCTCTCTCATCGATGTTTCTAACTCTCTATTCCTCTCTCTTCCTCTCTGTACAAAATCAATAAAATATTTTTTTTTTTAAATAGGCATCTGTTGTGTAGGTCAGGTCTCCCGGCTGGTCCAGGGACCACCCCAGCAGCCTTTCTGCCCCTCAGGTCATCATCCACATAAGCCGGGAGCTCACGGTCACAGGCAGATCGGCTCGGGGCACGCTTCTGCTTACAGTCCTTCTGTGGCTCCCCACTGCCATCTGGATAAGAGCCGAGCTCCTCAGACGGGCCTTCCATCTGTGCGGGCTCCTTTCCCACAGTGCCTCCCGCGCCAGCCACTCCACCGCGCGTCCCCTCCCCGAGAGACAGCCACGGTAATGGCGTGGCGGGAATCCTTCCAAACCACATAGAACAAATAAGGGGCCGAGAAGTACCGTCTTGTATGCCGATAGCTTTTTATAAAATTCTCTCTCTGCCAGTGTAATACAGTGACAGCCTATGGAAAGTCACATCGCACGCCAACGAAAAGAGGTGCCCCTCAGTCCTCCCCTTCCCCACCCTCCAGAGCCTCCCCTTTCCACGTGTTCAGTCATCCTTCTCATTACCTCCATCCTAAACAGCACGTTGAAACGGTGGTTTCCCAATGTAGCCACGTGAGACAGTAATGGATGTTTGTATTCGGTGGAGGCGGGCTAGGCAGCCGTCACAGACAACCCCCAAGTCTCAGTGGCTTCACACAACCAGGACAGCTGCAGGGCCATCACCCTCTGGCCTAGCTGCAGCACAGCCTTCCACCGGAAGCCGATGGGCTAGAACTATCATGGCCCCAGCCAACAGCAAGGGGCTGAGGAGTTCAGTCTTGTATGTGCCCAGAAGCAGGGAGAACCAGGTATCACAGAACACTATGATGTCCTCCACACTCCCCATTAATGGACTCTTACACTACCCAACTCCACCAATACAGTTTTACCACCATTTTAAAAATGTAAGTGAAACTGATATTCAAGGTTCATACTCTTTTTTTTTTTTCTTTTTTTTTAGGGTTTACATTCTTATGACTTTGTCGATATTGTCCAGCTGAGCCAAATGGTATGCTATAATCACATTTATTTTCTTTTTTAAAATATATTTTATTGATTTGTTTTACAGAGAGGAAGGGAGAGGGATAGAGAGTTAGAAACATCGACCAGATGCCTCCAGCTGCCTCCTGTACACCCCCTCCCGGGGATGTGCCCGCAACCAATGTACATGCCCTTGACCGGAATCGAACCTGGGACCTTTCAGTCTGCAGACCGACGCTCTATCCACTGAGCCAAACTGGTTTCGGCTCACGTTTATTTTCTAATACATATTTTTGTTTTTCCTGGAATAACTGCCTCCTTTTCTCCATTTGTACACATATTGCTATATTTCCTCAAACATTCCAGCAGACGCATAAAATGCCTTTCCCATACAGTCACTTACCAGTGCCTTCTCTTTTCCTAATGATCCATCTCCTGGAGTTACCCTCCTTCCTCCCCACCCCACACCTCTCTCTTTCTTTTTTTTAATCCTCACCAGAGGGTACTTTTCCATTAATATTTAGAGAGAGAGGAAAAAAAACAGAGCGAATGCCCTTGACTGGAATCGAACCCAGGACCCTTTGGTCCACAGGTCAACGCTCTATCCACTGAGCCAAAGCGGCTAGGCCCCTCCTTCCTTTTCAATCTGCCGGTAGTTTCTTTCCGGACCAGATGCACACCTGTGCTCCTGTGTTAGAGCACCTGCTTTCTGGCTTACACATCTTTTCTTTTTTCTTTTTAAAAAAATATATCTTATTGATTTTTCACAGAGAGGAAGGGAGAGAGATACAGAGCTAAAAATGTCAATGAGAGGGAAACATCAACCAGCTGCCTCC